CTCTGCTCTGACCAACCTGGGCCATACTGCGTCAGGCGCCGATATCGCGGCGGAGGGCGGTGCTGACGGCGTCGGCGTCAGCGTTGGCTCCTTGTTGTCCGCCGCGGCGGCGGCGGCTGCCGCCGCCGGTGGCGGCGGCAGCACATACCACCGCCGCGCCGAGCCACTGTTGCGGGCGCCGTCGCTCGCCGACGCAGTCAACGGCGGCGGCGGCGACGACGGCGGCGCCACCTGGCCTCAAGCTCTGTCTGCTGCCTGGCCGACGGGAGCATTAAGCTCCTTCCCAGGACGCGCTGGCGGCGGCGGCGGCGGTTGTCGCCATTGAGTCGCCGGTTGCTGCAGGAGCTTCTGCCATATGTCTTGAGTAGTGCCGAGGGCGATGCCGGGCTTACACCATCATCGTGCCTGATGACATTCGGGTGGTGCCGGGCTCGGAGTCTACCTACATGCCCACCTGCTTACACGCCTAGTGCAGCAGCGGTTGCTAAGGGGAAAACGCTGTGGCTTAGATGTGCGTCGTATGGTGTGGATGTGTGTGTCGCTGTATGGTCATCGGGGTATAGAGCGCTCAACGCTCTTTGCATCTGTCTGTCTGCTTGTCTGCCTGCATTTTAAGTCTGTTGTCTGTCTGTCTGTCTGTCTGTCTATTTGTCTGCCTGTCTGTCTCGAAGACATCCTCGTACAACGAATGCTGGAGAACATATGAATGGAGGAAATGTTAGTGGTGGTGGGGTTGGGGTGGCTCTTGTGATGGGTATGCAAGACCCCACATCCCATCGCCAGCGGGCCATCCAGCTTACGTGAACCCCAACTTCAATCTCTCTTCCCCGCTCCCTGCTGCAACCTCTGCTGTGAAATTGTAGTCTTTTACCCTTTTCGCTGTCGTGCGGTCCTATTTCTCTATTCCAAGGTGCCCCAGGAGATGGCTGCTATAGTGTGCCGAACACCCACATGACAAACTTGTGGCTCTTATTAGGCTCTTGGGCCTTGGGCTCTTGGTCGTTTGGGCACTCGTTACACCTCTCTGGATAACGCAACCGAGGTGTAACACCATACACACACAAATGGAGCTGCTGTGAGAGGAGAGGAGGGGAGAGGAGAGGAGAGAAAGGTAGAAGAAGGACGAAGAAGCCAAACCCTTCCGGTGCTGCTGTGACCGGTTTGGTTATTTTTGTGTGAGTAGGTGTGTGTGTGTGTGTGTGTGTGTGTGTGTGTGTGTGTGTGTGTGTGTGTGTGTGTGTGTGTGTGTTTGTGTATCATCGCAGCGGTGTGCGGTCCCAGATCCATGTAGGTAGAATACAGGCCAACTCCAAGACCATGTATTCCTTTTCCCCCCCCCATGTCTCCATTGAGTGGGGGAGGTGCCAGCGCGTGCCTGTGTTTTGAAGAATTAAGTTGCAAAACGGAAATTGCTTGCGGGTCTGTGTACATGTCTGTATGCATGTGCACTTCTGTTTCTTTGCCACTGTGTATCTGAGTGTGACTCGGAGCTTCGGAGGGAAAGGGGTAGGGGGTTGATGACTCCAACTGCGGTTGAGCTTGTTCTCAGGGCCCAAGTGATAGTGTAGGGATAGAGAGGCGGGTGGAGAAGGGGGTGTCATGGAAAGGAGAATGGGTGACCCCAGTGCTTTAGGGTGTTGGAACCCGGGAAGTGGGCACCACATGTAACCCACGGGGATCTGGGGTTACCGGGGGGTGGCAGAGCGGCCAGGATGCGGCGGAGGGTCGGGTCGGGAGCAGGATGCGGATACAGGAAAGAGAAGGATAGAAATGTGGACCAAAACCCCCGGATAAGGATGGCAGATGTGTCGGCGGATGGCGGCAGGGTCGACGCAAACCCACCAAGGATGAGGATGGCGGAGGGGAGGGAATGCAGTCACCAGTATGGGGGACGTGTGGGTTGAGGATAGGGGAAGGGTGACGGTGTAGGATGTATCCAACCGACAGGATGTGTGCCCGGGAGCCCCCCCCCCCAGGATGGGAGGATGGGAGGATGGGCCCTCGCTCTGCATCCCCCCTGGGTTACTGGCATCACGGCGCACTGCTCCCGCGCCTAAATGAGCCACTGGAAGTGAACGAATGAATGAAGGCGAGGCAGCCGGGTGGTGGATGGCAACTAAGTGACCTCTGTGATGTCAGGCATTTCTGGGGGGCCTGTGCTCCTGCTATTGCTTCATCCTGCCGGGGCCAAAAGGCGACGTACATGCTTTCTTTGCTAGAGCAAGGAAAGCATGTACGTGTACATGTACGGCGTACT